GGAGATACAGCCAGGATTTTTGTGTAGGTATACTGGCAAGAAAAGGTAGAGCAAGGAAAATGTGTGAGATAGAGGGTAGTGGAAGCATTAAGTTCAAGAGTAACTAGTTTTGACAGTACGCACTTAAAAAGATCTGTTCCAACTAATTTCTTATGGATTTAGTTGCTTCATTACAGAAAGTGGGTAATAGTTGCATTCAGAGGACAGTATAATGAACCCTACTATTAGTTATTTAAAAAGCGGAGAAAATTCTTGAAAGTATTTAGTACAGAGCTTCAGGTTTTTATTTTCCTGTCCTTCAGCGAAAAGTTGATAGCCAGCTTTCAACTGAAGCCAATACTTAAAAGTCCTAATTGAATATTCTGCTGTTATCCATGTATGCAACTTTGCTCTTATGTCCTACTTAGAAATGCGTTCTAAAATTCTTCTTTCATGCTGTCTTGTTTAGTAATTAGAGTCACAGAGAGGCTTTTCTTTACTTGTGATCAGATTTTAATAGAGGGGATTAAAGCACATACTTGCTAACTGCTGGTTCTGATATTTCATGTGTTGAACTAGTTTTTAATGTTGCTGCATAGCTGGTGCCCTTAGTCTTTGATCTGCAAAGAGCAACATTACTGATATGGTTTATGCAAGACTTGGCCTTAAATGTCTGACTAAGTAAACTTGATGTATTCTGGAAGGTCATTAAAGAGGTGATCATGTCTTCCCTTTTGCAAGGGCAAATTCTTTTCTGAGACTTTGCACAAACATTTGCACGATTGTTAGTGAATTTGTCGGTCAGCTCTAGAAAGTGAAAATAAATTATCTTCTTTCAGGAGAGATGTGACCTTTGACTGAAGGTATGTTTTTATTATGAAGTTGATATGATTCTTTGATTCTGGCTTAATTATGTCTCATTCAGAGTACCCTCATAACTATTAACCTTGTTGCTGCTCTGTTAGACTCTAGAAGATGGTGAAAGTCCCATGAAACTTCCTGGGAGAATTGTTCTGTCACTTTTTGTCTAATATACATAAGATTTTGTTCCTGTGGGTGTAAAAGAAAAATCATGCTGCTCTTTGGCAGTTTGTGTGGGTTCTGACCATATGCCTGTGCGGAGTATAGTCTTTTTTTAAAGAAAACCTTTAGCAGCTATTTAGTGTAGTCTGAGTTTCAGCGTACCAAAAGGCTAGTTACTTTGCTGTCTCAAAAGTAAGTATGAAGAACGGTCACCTGATAAAATTGCTGATACCCAAGTTCATAACGTTCAGTATGATGTCTTTGGCCAATATTATTCAAAACCACAATAACTTCAGAAAACTTTACATAGAGATAACTCTTTTCTTTGAATCTTTACTTGCTGTGCTGTTTCTTGCCTCAGCCTGTTACAGGGCTTGAGAGACCACTTTGTCTTGTTCTGTAGACATAATTAGCCACACCTTCACCAGAGCTGCCTTATTTATGAGAGAGGGCTCAAATCTTGACCCTATGCTTAGATTTTCTTTTATCATATGAAGATGTGAATTGGCATTTGGAGCTTGTTGCTAGAGCTACAATATATAATTTCTTTGCTAATGTGAATCCTTAAGTTCTCTAGTGCATAGTCAGTTACTTTTTAGATGTCACCATATAGAGAAGATGTGTTTCCTATACAAAATGTGGTCTGTCATGGCTGACCAGCCTGTTAAAACTGAGAACCCAACTGCACACCTAAGTCAACATCTCTCCTTGGCTTAGCTGAACAGAATACTTCAAGTGGAAGAGCAAGAGAATCCAACTTGGGAGTGCTCATCCAGTGAAGACAAAAATCAACACCCACAGGATTGTACATCCTAAACTTAAAGGAGAAGAGCAGCTTGTTTAAATAATCTTTGACAACCTTATCTAGGATGTTAGATGTGTTTCATATCACCATGTAGCCAAGTAAAAGGTTTATTATTGCAGCTGTGGTAACTACTGTCTTTGGCATCAGTGTACTACCAATTTAGATCATGAGGGTTCAAGCAGTTTTCTGACTTTCCCAATTTATCGGTGATTTTATATGAAACTTTTATCTTGGAGACTTATTTAAGCACACAAATGGCAGCTGGTGTAGAGAAAGATTGAAACTTTTAATAGAATTTCAGTTCAAGATATGAAGTTGATATTTTCATGTCTAAAGGCACTTTCTCTTTGCAAAAGCAACTGTAAGGATATTCTTGTGAGTTTTATAACAATTGATCTCTAATCTGAATAATTTATGTGTAGGGGTAAGGCTTAGTGGTTTTTTAGTTGACGTATAAAATTTCTACTGAAACCTTTTAATCTTCCACCATGGAACTCCCTCTGAAAAATAATTCACTTATTGTGTCCATGGATACCAATAGAGCTCTAGACCAGGGGACTCCTAACCTTTTTGATCATGCACTCCTATCAGTGTAAAAAAAAAAAAAAAAAATCTGAACATGCACCACCAATATCTGTGTATTTATTTATAAATTATATACACATACTACTGCACTAGGTATTATGTACGTTATAAAACATACCCAAAAATGGAAATTAAAGATGAAATAAACACTGTTTTTACACTTTATTAATAGTGCAAGAAGTATTTTCTTCTCACACCCTAGTGGCTTGTCTTGCACACCTCTCTGGGTTTTCACACTGCAGTTTCAAGACCGCTGCTCTTCCTATGGCGAGATAACCCAGACAATATATATAGGAGATCTAAAGGCCAGAGAGAAATTATCTATGAAGAGTCCTGTAAGTTTTCTGGCGTATGTGTGTTAGAGACTGCATTTAAAGCAAGTGCTTGTGCCAGGGTTTGATCCCTGTATATGAAATGGATTGATTTATCTTCCCTCCTTACTTCTGTATGTCTTGGATTGGGAGTAGGAAAGGCCTACTGTTCTGTTTTACAATGGCCTTTCACGTCTATGAAACAAATGGATATTTGACTTTGTTTATGGCAGAAACTAGGAGTACTTGCTTTTTTATGTTTGTAACTTACAGAGTATCTTGGTTCTGTTAATTGGGACTAAAACATTCTGATGTTTGACTTTGAATGCCGCAGATATATTTTCTCAGTGCTAGTATTCAAATCCGCATAATCTATGCTTGGGACACCTTTGCAGACTTTTTGCTAGGTACTCCCCTATAAACAAGCTTTCGTCATCTTTAAGGGAAACTTAGAAAACTCAGTGTTCAGGTGTTGTTTTTTCCTTCCAAAAGTTCATTGTTCAGCA